CAGGGCCCACGCTGGAAGAGCTATGAAATTACTCATCTCTTCCAAATCTTTATGAATGGTTCTTTGCTACCCTTCTCTGATTTACAAAGGACATTTGCTCTGCCTGCTTCTATGCATTATTACTATGTACAAATACAACATGCCATCAAAGCCCAGAGGACTTCCTGCGAATGGCACTTATCCACATCATCATTCTTTAACTTAGTTGCTTCTGTTGAAACTTCCAAATGTTTTATATCGCAGGGATACTCTATGCTCTTGACTCGATTTCTTAGGCAATATCTAATGAGGGTCCTGTCACAGTGGGAGAAGGATTTAGGCCCGATCTCAGGTGACCAACCGGAAGGATTTTAAGCAGTTACCTCTTGTTCGCTCAATGTGGTGCAAAGACTTTCCCAATTATATATTCTACATAGGGTACATTACACACCGCAGCAATTGTATAAAATGGGTATTCAGCCTGATCCCTGTTGTGGTAAATGCCTGCATAACCATGGTGATCTTCTCCATTTACTTTGGAGATGTCTCAAGATTCACCTGTATTGAAAGAGGGTGACTGATATTAATTCAGTCTTTCAGTCTTCTGTGCCCTCAGATCCTAAATATTGCCTGCTTAATATTTTGGGCCACGATATTTCATGTGTTTTCACTCGGGAAGCTATTTCCAACGCTCTAATTGTGGCTCTTAAGTTAATGTTAATCCACTGGAAGTCGGCTTTGCCCCCCCGCCGTAAAGGCACAGGCTAAAGGTGACTTTTTAAGATTGGAGAAATTAATTTACCAACATAGAGGATGCCCAAGTAAATTTGACAAGCTTTGGGCCCTATGGCTGGATACCCCTGGACTTGGCCCTTTGGGTTGATATATACCTGATCACTAGTTACTCTTTTATAGTGAATCCCTTGTTTAGTACCCCATGTGCAATGACCTTTGTGCTGTTATTGTTATTGTCTTTGACTCTGTGGCTTCAAATAGGACTAGGAGCTGTACTTGCAACTGTTTTCTTTTTCTTTTTTGCGTGACTTACTGTTGTATAATTTGTCTGCTGTGCCTGCCTTTGATCGTTTTCAATAAAACCTTCTTGATATATAAAAAATGTGAATTATATTTTGTTTGTGTGTACTGAAACTAGTTTTAGTGTATTTTTTTGCTTTGTTTTGTTATATGAAAACATAGGTTTAAAAAATAAGTTGTTCAAATATCATTTATAATAATATAAATTTCCAACTATCACCTATTTATTCTATATATTCTCTGCTTTCAGAAAAGATATAATGTTTTGTAGGTTAAAATAATTTTCAGATATTATTTTGTTATGGGCTTGGGAGGTAAAACTGAACCCAAAACACACATTAAATGAAATATTTGTAATCTACAAATATATTGTCTATATTGTTATGGCTTGCCAGTAGCAGTGTTTTTTTATTGTGTCTGAAATTGAGCTTAATGGTAATGTTAATGTTGTAATAAGGTCTACATATTGTGTTTTTACTACATTATTAAGGCCTGCAATAGTGGGCTCTTGGTCGCATAAAAGTATATCAGATTGCAAAATCTACTTCAAGAAGGTCAAGAAGGTGGTGAACTGCAGGTAAAACATACCAGTCAATTAATTCTAATCTCAGGAAGGTTTTAAACTGATGTCTAAATAACAACATTGACACAAGTCCAAAGCCAGATGACATACAGTTGCAAGAAAAAGTATGTGAACCCCTTGGGATTACGTGGAGTTTTGCATGAATTGGGCATAAAATGTGCTCTGAACGTCATCTAAGTCACAACAATAGAAGAACACAGTCTGCTGAACATAATACTACACAAACATTAGATGTTGCCATGGTTTAATTGCACATAACATGTAAACATTCACAGTGCAGGGAGGAAAAAGTATGTGAACCTTTGGACTTAATAACTGGTTGACCTTCCTTTGGCAGCAATAACCTCAACCAAACGTTTCCTGTAGTTGCAGATCAGACCTGCACAACGATCTGGAGTAATTTTGGACCACTCCTCTTCACAAAACTGTTTCAGTGTAGCAATATTCTTGGGATGTCTGGTGTGAATCGCTCTCTTAAGGTCATGCCACAGCATTTCAATCGGGTTGAGGTCAGGACTCTGACTGGGCCACTCCAGAAGGCGTATTCTGTGCTGTTGCAGCCATTGTTTTGTTGAATTACTTGTATGCTTTGGGTCATTGTCCTGTTGCATCACCCATCCTCTGCGGAGCTTCAGTTGGCGGACAGATGGTCGTACGTTTTCCTGCAAAATGTCTTGATAAACTCTGGAATTCATTTTCCCATCAATGACAACAATCCGTCCAGGCCCTGAGGCAGCAAAGCAGCCCCAAACCATGATGCTCCCTCCGCCATGTTTTACAGTGGGGATGAGGTTTTGATGTTGGTGTGCTGTGCCTTTTTTTCTCCACACATAATGTTGTGTGTTTCTTCCCAAACAACTCAATCTTGGTTTCATGTGTCCACAGTATATTTTGCCATTAGTGCTGTGGAACATCCAGGTGCTCTTTTGCAAACTTCAAACGTGCTGCAATATTCTTTTTGGACAGCAATGGCTTCCTCTGTGGTGTCTACCCATGTACTCCATTCTTGTTTAATGTTTTCCTTATTGTAGATGTGTCAACAAAAAAATGTTAGCATGTGCCAGAGATTTCTGTAGGTCTTTAGCTGACACTCTGGGATTCTTCTTTACCTCATGCAGTATTCTGCGCTGTGCTCTTGCAGTCATTTTTACAGGACGACCACGCCTAGGGAGAGTAGCAACAGTGCTAAACTTTCTCCTTTTGTAGACAGTCTGTCTTACCGTCTACACATGAACATCAAGGCTTTTGGAGATACTTTTGTAACCCTTTCCAGCTTCATGCAAGTCAACAATTCTTGATTGTAGGTCTTCTGAGAGCTCTTTTCTACGAGGCATGGTTCATATCAGACAGTGCTTCTTAAAACCAGTAAACCCAAAACAGGTGTGTGTTTTTTAAGGGCAGGACAGCTGTCAACAACACATCCAATATCATCACACTGATTGGAGTCAAGGTTGGCTCACTCCTGGCTCCAATTAGCTCTGGGAGAAGTCATTAAGCTAGGGCCTCACATACTTTTTCCTCCCTGCACTGTGAATGTTTACATGTTATGTGCAATTAAACCATGGCAACATCTAATGTTTGTGTAGTATTTATGTTCAGCAGACTGTGTTCTTCTATTGTTGTGACTTAGATGACGTACAGAGGACATTTTATGCCCAATTCATTCAAAACTCCACGTAATCCCAAGGGGTTCACATACTTTTTCTTGCAACTGTAGGTCCCTAATATGCATTTGCTTGCAGACCTCCATTGAAATGTAATTAATTTCTTGTGTGTCAACTTTTAGTACTATTACTCAATAAGGCAGTGCAAAAAGTGATTTTAAAATGTGAAGTGTGGAAATCATAGCAGTCAATTCTTTATTATACCAAAGTCATATTGGTAAATGATGATTATGATTGTGTGCTAAAGATTTCTGCACTATGATCTGGGGTCTCAGTTGGTATTGGGTGGGCCATCAGGCAGAACTTAAGAGTGCCAAGAATGCCTGCAGTGAAACACAGTAATGTGTACAATACAGTGCTGAGACTTGCTTTAACTTAGTTCTCTTCAACAGCATTGTTTAGTCAAAGAATAAGCAGAGAAAATAGCACAAGTTTTACAAGGGTCTCATATTTTGGCTAAGGGCTTAAACTGAATAATCATTTCAGCAATGAAAAACAAAGTCTAAGATATATTTGTAATTTAGAAGAGTTAAAGCGGACAATAGAATTGTTATGAAAGTTGCATGGATCCTAATTTTAAATGCTGACTTGACTGAGAAGCCACCAGTAGCCCTGGATTGCATATTAGGGCCCAGGCAGTCATTTTATTCATAGTCAATCTTAACTGGTGGTTTAATACCCAGAATCTAGTACAAGACCAAAGGTTGGAGAATGGCTGTTTCATAAAGGCTTCATAGTTAGGCAGGTGCAGAAATTACAAATAACCTTTAACTGCCTGCTGTTACAGACACATCATAGCAAAACTAATATATATATATGTAGAATAGTAAGCTGGATACCCATGTATACCTATTTGGCCCTTCAGAGTGCCTCGAAAAGTCTGTACCATGGGATGTTTAATATGGACAATATGACTCCAGCTCTAGCTTCAGAACTGAAAGCCATTATTTGCATAGAAAGTGCACTAGGTTCAGGAGGATAAATAAAGGTATGTACAGGCATCTATTGGTGGCCGCTATTACCCTATTAAGCTGCTGTGATATATAAATGGTCTATTTTAAGTTTTATTTGTGCCATTCCAACTGTTATAGATAAAGTGTTATATATGCTCATTAAAATACAACTATCATTGTGTGTTCAAGCAAAAGCTAAAATTACAGGTGTATCAAAAATGTCTGTATCATCTTCATTCTCTACAATACAAAGCCAGACATGAGATGAAATGCCATCTATGCCACAGACACTAGCTTCTCAAAAATAACTTTGTTGCTATTATTTTCTTTTCATGGCTGAGATACTTTTTCAACATCACCATCAGTATTCTCTCTATCCAGTTTGAAATGTAGGAGCTCTTTACACATTGGAGCTCTCTCTACTGTTAATGGCTGTATGGCTTAAAAACAAGCAGAGACTGTGTCAGAAGCACAGTTCTGCTAACAATGTTATCTAGCTTTATCCCATAGTTGTATTTTGCACAGTAAACATTAATTTTGCTCAGTCCTGCTGGACTTAATTATAAGGACTTAAATTACCTTTTTAAAGTGTCCTTCTCCAATTCTTATTTTGGTATATCTTTTTCGAACATATTACACTAAATAATACTGTGGTTTTGCTATTGCATATAAGCTAGTTATCAAAGTTGAAATATTAGAGCCATAGAGAGTTCTCTACCTTCACTATGACAAAAACTTCTCAACTACTTCATAAAGGTCTGCATTAGAAGAAAGTCCTTCGAAGTCCAGTAAAGTAGTGTCAATATTAAAGTTGAAGAAGTCATCGTCATCCAAATCTTTTTCATACTTTTCATCTATTTCATTGTCTGCTGGCTGCTCTGGCCCCTCAGAAATACTGCTTTCTGATGTAGGAATTATGACAATACGTGGAATAGTGGCATGAATTATCCAGTCCAAACCTCCATTAACATCAAGTCCATTTACTTTTTTCTTGTTTGTCATATGATTCTTAACAATTGATTCCAAACCAATGGGATAGGTAGCTGCATTTAGTGAGTTTGATAGAAGAAAGTCCTTTGCATTTTCTTTCTCTGATTTTCTTGATGGCTCCAATGAGCATAATGTGGGCAAAACCTATTAAAATGAAAAATGACATCAACTATATATATGTGTGATTTACATGTAGGTAACTTTATATTTTAATATATTTAAATCTCAGAACTTTAAACATTAACAAACTGCAAAATGGGAAACAAATTTTAGAAGATTCTCTGTCTGCTGTTTATGAGGTTATCATCATTAGTTTAAGAAACTGAGGATAAAAAGCATGTAGGTGAAAGTGGTCAGGTAGGCCTCATTTCTAAATGATGCATTAAAGATACATGCACATGCATCATTTTTTAATTTACATTGCCGAAGTTGGTGGCCCTGTACAGCCTAAACCCAGAGTTCAAGGGGTTTTAAAAAGACACAGTGAATGAGCTCAAGACTAACACATAAACCTCCAGGCTAGAATTTTTCTAAAAGGCTAGAATTCATCCTAAAAAGACTGTTACTGGAAAAAAAAACATGTCATCATTTAAAAAGTACCTACATCAACCATACACCCTGCTGTTTTATTTATTCTCTTAATAATCCCTCTAATATAATTTTTAAAATAAAAGTGAAACTTACAGTCCCCCTCCACACGCCCCCTTCCCCCCCCTTTTTTTTTCTTTCTTTCTTTCCCACTGTTTGTCCCTCCCCCTTACTTTTCCAGTAGCCCTGCTAATAATTCCACTTGGGGCTACCAGCTGGCCTTGTGATGCAAATATAAACTACTGATATCCTGACCACTCATTTATCAATGTAGAAAAATGCCCTCTCCTTACCACACGGGCTTATTTTTGCCCCTCACCTATGGCTGCAAGATTCCAGCTCCATATACATCATCTATAGTTGTTTCCAGTTTCATGTTTTGACATTATGATCAGAACCTTTGAATAAAGGTGCTACAATGACTCTTACTATTGAATCTTTAGATAATTAGGGAGATTTGTTTATCTTCTCACTTTCATATTTGCAGTTTTTGCATCATGATATGATGGTTGATCATTTTTGTTACACCTATGTGATCCTCTTGGCCCTTGGGCCCATGTATATATCCTCTTGTTTTATTTTCCAATAAAGCATTTTGTGGAAAAAAAAAAACAATTAGTTATTGTGTTAGGATACCTTTTAACCAGTTTCAGACCTAGAGAATACTAGTACCTAGTATGCCTTGTGCTTATGCCCACAACCTCTGCATAAATCTGGCTCCCAGTCTGTGTCTCAGGAGACACTGCAGCAGCTCTTGTATGAGTGAAGCTTGTAAAAATGTTTAGAAGATTTGTTATTGAATGTACAGTACTATAATAAACTATATTTTTGTTACAGTGAGCTTAGACTAGTGTGTTTAGACTAGCTCGTTTATGTGCATATCAAAGTTTATCTGCACATAATATAAGTAAAAAAAAGAATAAAATCTTACAAGTGAAAAAAAGATTTTTTTAAATAAAAGTGTTACCTATTTTAACCCATAATAGAGCCTTAATTAATTTAATGACACCTTATTAACATATTTCTCCTTATATCCCTTTAGGTATTTCTTGCTACGTTAACATATTTTAACCATTCATATTTTAAAAACTTTATTTTTTATTGTTTTGTCTTTTTTTTTAAGCATCCCATTGAAACAAAAATCATAATTGAAAGAAAATCTTTTTTATTTCATCTATGAATAACTTTACCAAAAATATAATTCTATTTCTTTTTGAGAAATCACAGAATAAAATTTGAATTTTTAGTAACACTAGTTGTTCTAAGTTGTTAAAAACAGGTAACAAATTGACTTTCCATTATTCCCCTGACACCCTTTCAGTACACCCTCAGTACCCTGAGAACAGCATCTGATGCTTTTTTATTTGCACTAACAATTTTCAGAGCATGTTTTTGGGACATCCATTCCTTTCTTCTGAAGCAAGCAGTATTGCTACATAGTTATTAACCACTTGCCATCCAGAGGATTTACCCCCCTCCTGACCAGGCCATTTTTTTTGTGTTATGGCGTTTCTGCAGTACTTTAACTGACAATTGCGCAATCATGCAACACTGCACCCAAATTAAATTTACGTCCTTTTTTTCCCACGAATAGAGTTATATTTCAGTGGTATTTCATTGCCTGTGTGGTTTTTATTTTTTGCACTATAAAAAAAAGACCAACAATTTTGAGAAAAAAACTATATTTTTGACTTTTTGTTATTAAACATGTCCTGTAAAAAAATTTAAAAAATCAAATTTTGTCATAAATTTAGGCCAAAATGTATTCTGCTACATGTCTTTGCTAAAAAAAAATTAAATACGTGTAAATTAATTGGTTTACGTGAAAGTTATAGCGTTTTAGAAATGGCTGTATATGTACTGGAATTTTTTTTTTAACTAGTAATGGCGGCGATCAGCGATTTACAGTGGTACTGTGGTGGGCATTATGACACGGGGGGAACTGGCTTGGTGTCACTGACATACAGTGATCAGTGCTAATAAAAATCACTGACACTGTACTAATTACACTGGACAGGAAGGGGTTAACATCTGGGGCGATCAAAGGGTTAACTGTGTGCTGTTTTACTGTGTGCTGTGTTAATGCTTTCAACTGTAAGCACACATGCCTTGTATGGCTCTGCTATGCAGAGCCATACAAAGCAGTGAACTGGAGCCGACAGGGGAGAGAACTGTATTGTTTACATACAGTTCTCTCTGTCCATTGGTAAAGCTCAGTGATCACCGGGCACCGGGACCTGCTGATTGACATCCGAGGCTGTGAATAGTGGCGCAGGTAAGGGCGTGCGTGAGGCTCGCGTGCGCCCCCTACCTGTAAATGCAAAATCATGTATATATACGTGTGATTTTACACATCCTTGCCGTTCTGTAGCAGTATATCTGCTATAGGGTGGCAGGAAAATGGTTAATAAAATCTGTGAGCATTTTGTTGGCATTCTACTAAATTTCTGTGCATCAGTACTGCTTGGACCATGAGAAGGAATCTCCTGAAAACTTGTCCTGAACAATGAACGTAATACAAATAAAAAAGGTATCAAGCACAGTATTGTTACAAGTGACCTGGTACCGGCTACAATCACCTTACATATACAGTACAGTAGTCCAATTTTAGGCAATAGTCTAGAAAAAAACAGAGGCTAAGCCTTAAGGGTCTCATGAATGTGCACCAGCTATTTCAGAGCTTCATTTTCATTTTAGGATTATATCAGTATTAAATGGTTGCTGACCAGCCACAGTGTTTTTACTGTGGCAGGGCGGCACCTCTGCGCAGAACGCTGTTTTTTAACGGCACTCTGCAAAACAGGTAGGGGGCGCGCGTGAGGCCGATCGTGGCAGCCCTACCCATCCCGCCGATCGCGGCAGCGGGTGTCCATCACCGGGTCTCGGCCGGTCATTACCCGCCGGGTCCCAGCGATTACCAGCAATCACTGACTGAGAGCACGGCTGCAGTGTTTACACTGCAAGTCTGCTCTCTGTCAGTTCAGGGCATGCTGAACCTGAGAGAAGAGTTTATCTCTCGGGATCAGCATGTTCCCGTGAAGTACACACTCCCCTCACACAGTTAACCCTTTCATTACCTAAAAAATGTTAACCCCTTCCTCCCCAGTGCCATTAGTACAGTGTCAGTGGGTTTTTTTTTTTTTGCACTGATCACTGTATTGGTGTCACTGGGCATGTTAGTGACCCCAAGTCAGTTCCCCCCCAGTGTCAAAATGTCTGCCGCAGTCCCGCCATAAGTCGCTGATCACTGTCATAAATCGCTGATCACTGCCATAAGTCGCTGATCGCCGCCATTGTTAGTATAATAAATAAAAAAATCCCAGTATCTTTCCCGCCATTTATAGACTCTATAACTTTCACGTAAACCAATTAATTTACACGTATTGGGCTTTTGTTTTAGCAAAGACATGTCGCAGAATACATTTTGGCAGAAATTTATGACTAAATTTGATTTTTAAATTTTTTTACTGGACATGTTTTATAGCAAAAAGTCCAAAATATTGTTTTTTTTTCTCAAAATTGTCAGCCTTTTTTTTTATAGCGCAAAAAATATATAAAAAGCACAGGCGACCAAATACCACCAAAAGAAAGCTCAATTTGTGGGAAAAGCAGCGGGAGATGATGCCCCCCCCCCCCCCCCCCCCCCCCTGCCTTCCACGGCCTTCTCGGGCAATCTCGTGCCATCAGGGGAACCTGAGAATGCAGCTGGTGTTTCTGCCAGCTGACCATAGAGTTGATTGGAGACCAGAGTGGTGCCAATCATCTCTATAGTCTAAGAACTCGGAAGCTACAAGCATTTCATCACTTCAGTTTCGCAGGATATAAACAGCGCCAGGGACGGACTGGCAACTTATGGGGCCCCCGGGCAATAGGGGATCATGGGGCCCCTGTGTCCTTGCCCAAACTCAAAAAAGCCTATGAAAAAGGTACCAGGGGCATTTCATGGGGCCCCCTACTGACCCCCGGGCCCTCGGGCAGTGCCCGAGTTTCCAAATGGTCAGTCCGCCCCTGAACAGCGCCATTTGTAAATTGGGAAAGCATCTGAACACACCGATTTTGGTTTGATTAGATAATGTAAGGGCAGAGGAGATATCCAGAGTCTGATAGACCCCAGATTTCTCTCAAAAAAGAATATATGACAATGCCCAATGAAGTTATAGGGAATATTTGCATCCCCTGTTATAGCATTAAAAGTGCTAAAAAAAATGAAAGGTACAATGTAAAAATAATAAAAAAAATCAAAATAACAAAAAATCGCCCCTCCCATGCGCGCACACCTGTGTGCACAAACTTTGCCACTGTGCCGGTATGTAAACAGCGGTTGCACCAAGCATGTGAGGTATTGCCGTGAACGTCAGATCAAGGGCAGTAATTCTAACACTAGACCTCCTCTGTAAATCTAAAATGGTAGCTTTTAAAGGCTTTTAAAGCGTTGCCTATGGATATTAAAAATGTTTGCAGTTTGTCACCATTGCATGCACAGTCTTAAAGCATGTCATGTTTGGTATCGATTTACTCGACATACCATTATCTTTTATACTTTACCAAATAATTGGCCAATATATTGTGTTTTTGTGCATTAAAAGTAAAAAAAGTGTATTTTTTTTAAAATTTGCACTTGAAAAATCGCTGCCGAGTACTATGTGCCATAAAAAATTGTAGTACCCAGCATTTTATTCACTAGGGTGTCTGCTTTAAACAAAATATATAATGTTTGGGGGTTAAATTAATTTCCTAGCAAAGAATACAGATTTTTTTCATGTGAACAAAAAGTGTCAGAAAAGGCTTGATCTTCAGGTGGTTAGAAGAGTAAGTGATGTGTGGCATAAACTTCTAATGCTGGGCATAGAATGCCCCCACCCCCAAAACGACCCCTTTTTGGAAAGTAGACACCCCAAACTATTTGCTGAGAGGCATGTTGAATCAATAGCAGAATTAATTTTTTTACCACAAGTTTTTGGAAAATGACAAAATGCCATTGGGCTATATGTGGAATTACTCCCCAGAATACATTCTGCTACTTTTCCTGAGTATGGAGGTACCACATGTGAGAGACGTTTTGGCAGTCTAGCCAAGTACAGGACCCCAAAATCCAATAAACACCTTCAGGCTTTTAAAGGGCTTTATTTCCTGATTACACTTCCAGACTACCTATCACAGTTTCGGAGGCCCTGAAATGCCAGAATAGCACCTAACCCACCCCAAAGATAAAAAGCACGGTAAGTATTTTGCAGATCTCATTTGTTGCCACAAGTTTTTTGAAAATGAAGAACAAAAACGTATGTTTTCTACTCTTTTTTTCTATTTCAAAACCTTGTGAGAAAAAATTAGATCTGCAAAATACTCACCATGCCTCTTCTTAAATTCCTTGGGGTGTCTACTTTCCAGAAAGGGGGTTAATTTGGGGGGGGGGGGGGGGGGGGGGGGGGGGGGGGGGGGGGGGGGGGGGGGGGGGGGGGGGGGGGGTGGGGGGGGGGGGGGGGGGGGGTTGGTGCTATCCTGGCCTTCGAAACTGTGATAGGTAGTGAGGAAGTGTAATGAGGAATTTACGCACCTTCAGTCTTTCAAAGTGGTCATTGGATTTCAGGCTCCTGTATGTGGCTAGGCTCCCAAAAAGTCTCACACGTGGTATCCCCATACTCGGTAGAAGTAGCAGAATGTATTTTGGGGTGTAATTCCACATATACCCATAGCTTGTGTGATAAATAAATCATTTAAATGACAACTTTGTGCAAAAAAAAAAATGTTTTGGTCATTTTCCAGAAACTTGTAAAAAAAAATAAATCTTCCATGGATTCAATATGCCTCTCAGCAGATAGCTTAGGGTGTCTACTTTCCAAAAAGGGGTAATTTGAGGGTGTTTGTACTATCCTGGTATTTTAGCACCTCAAGAAATGTGATGGGCAGTCAGAAAGTAAAAGCTGTGTAAATTCCATTATCTATACCATAGTTTGTAGACGCTATAACTTTCACACAAAACAATCAATATACACTTACTGGAATTTTTTAAATCAAAAACATGTAGCAGAATACATTTTGACCTAAATTTATGATGAAATTTTAGTTTTTTTGGATATATTTTATGACCGAAATGAGAAAATATTGTTTTTTTTAATACATTTTTTCTTCAAAAATGTTTCTGGTTATAGCACCAAAAATAAAAAGTGCACGGGTGATAAAATACCACCAAAAGAAAGCTCTATTTGTGTGAAAAAAAGACATATATTTAATTTATGTACCATATTGCATGACTGCGCAATTGTCCGTTAAACTAGAGCAGTGCTGTATAGCAAAAAAATGGCGTAAATTGCAGTATCTATACCATAGTTTGTAGACGCTATAACTTTCACACAAAGCAATCAATATACACTTATTGGAATTTTTCTACCAAAAACATGTAGCAGAATACATTTTGGCCTAAATTTATAACTAACTTTGAGTTTACTATATATGTTTTATAGCTGAAAGTAAAAAATATTGTTTTTCTTCAAAATTTTGGTCTTTTTTTGTTTATAGCGTGAAAAATAAAAAGCGCACAGGTGATCAAATACCACCGAAAGAAAGCTCTATTTGTGTGAAAAAAAAGACGTAAATTTTGTTTGGGTGCAGCATTGCATGACCGCGCAATTATCAGTTGAATTAGTGCAGCGCCGAGTAGCAAAAAAAGGCCTGGTCAGAAAGGGGGGTAAATCCTCCAGAGGGCACGTAGTTAAGCCACTCCAGCACATTTCATAGTGTATTAATATCAACATCATATTGTAGTTAAACTCCACCATGTTACTTTGTATAACACAGCTCAAAAAATATTAGGGGATGATTTTTTTTTTTCTGTTTATTTTCCAAGATGCAGAATGTTAAACTTAGAGAAAGATGTCTACCTATATTGCATATCATCAGTATTTCCTAAATGCCCCTAGCACCAATTTGTTCATAATGCAGTCAAGCAGTGCTATGAATGGTGAATAGCACCGCAAACACATGGTCACAATATCTGTGTTTGTATTCTACAGAATATTTTTTTCATTTTAGCTCACCTCTTTAGAACAATTTGAAAGCTAATCATTTATTCATAACAGATTCAAAATATTTTTTTAAAAAAAAACAAGTATTAAGTCATCAAATTACATTATTATGTATATTAATTATACAATTTTTGTTAACCATAATTTGGGCACACATTATAACTTACCTTCCCCTCTGGTAATGCATTGCAGCTCCAAGCCTTCAGCAGCATCCCTCCCTTCTGCTCCCGTTTTTGGCTCAGTGAAAAAGAATTGCTCCTTTGAAAGCATGCATTCTTGTAAATTGCATCTTGTTCTATGTCACTGAGTATCTAAGTGGAAAACAAATGTGTTCACAGATTATAAATAATTGCATTTGGTCATATTAAGAAAGAATAACAGAACTCAAGTTTTTTAAAGGATACTTATGCCTTTGGGTGTTTATAAAATCTGCAGATAGGCCCAGACTGACATATTTCAATGGGAGGTATTGACTGGCTGGATCTTCCTGTGTGATTGCTATTGATCCCCTGAGATCAAACCAGGCTGTTTGCTAACATAATTGGCTGACATAAACTAGCATATTAATTCTATTAAGATACTAGAAAAGGATTACTTGGCATTTGAATCTTCTTAAAATCGTCTTATGTACTGTATATGGGAACCTGTACATTTTACTTTGCTTTAGGACACAATGATAAAGGTTGGTTCTAACAGTTTTCAAAGTAAGATGTGATATAAACCATAACTGTAAGCACTGTCAGTTTGGAACACTTAGCCAATTAATTAAACTATTTAATGAATGTATCTACATAATTCACTTGTCATGTATGATTAAAGGAAACCTTTAATAAGAGCCAGTGACTCAGAAAGTGTTAGAAACAGAGATAGCCATACATTAGCTTTTTCCAAAGGGAGAGCACAATGGTAGCTCATATACTGTATTTCTCTTAACACCAGTCTCTTTTTAAATAATATATCTGATTTCTGTTAAAGTCCTGTTAGGCACTGACTAACAGGATTGTGGCTGGTGTATATGGTGAATATAGTTTTTCACCTACACATGGTAAGGGGTTCAGGAGTTGATGGCACATATGGAGAAATCAAACTTGCTGTTTTCTTAGAATCATAATCAGTTTTGTTCTGGGTTCTGGAGCAGAGATGCTTTGTAGAGCTTTGGGTGGGAATAAGCCTCCATTACCAGGTCCACAACTTGCTTGGTAGCCAGACCTCCTTATTAGACTGAGCTGTGCAAAGGCCTTTATATATTTGAGCTGACTGATGTTCAGGCTCTTTCTTGCTCTCTCTGTGAGAGCCTGCTGCTTGGCTAAAAGGCTGAGTTCTGACAGAACACTAAAGAGTTGCATCTGATTTTGTTTACATTACATTATACTAAAATACTGTATATCAAACAGGCTTCTTTAGTAAAGATGTGTATAATGTACAATATTGGGTGATTTATTAAATGAACAGAGACTGTTTATTTAGCAAAGTAAATATTCAGTTTAGAAAGTTTATGCTCATTTTGCCAAGTGAATATTCACTTGGCCTAGGGAATAATGTGGCGCCATATTCACTTCACTTCAAACATCCAATAACTTGAAAGCAATACATTCAGCTTTTTACGGTTTCTTTGCAGATGGTTGGCTATTTAAAGTGAGCATAGCTTTACTGTATCTAACATTCTCTTTTCTTAGAAATAGTCCCCATTTCCTTAGTAAATGAATCCAACTATGTATAATGCATATAATAATAATGCAAAGCTCAAGCCAAAAAAGACATTCAGATTTTGTATAATATTGCCAATAATAAGGGGTGAAGAAAAAATGGAGTTTAATCAAACTAAAGACAATACTACTATAAAAAATGCTCACCTTTGTATCAACCTCAAATTATAAAATGAAGAGAGAAAAATAAAAAGGGCATAAGACAAAAATATTTGGTGACACATAAATCAAGGTATTGAAAGAAATGATTAATTTCTGATTATGTAGACAAACACAAATTAACAGCACACACGTTTGTGGAAACATATATGTTTTACAAAAAGAGGAAAAGTAGGGGAACAAAATTGAAAAAATGTATATTCTTATGTCTACTAAAGTCTAACTATATCATCAGGTTTTTTTTTTAATTGTCCCCTAACCGCCTCCTGGATAAAAAAAAAAAACATTTCTTACAGCAGTTCTAGTCTATTCAACTCTTTATCATTGCCCCAAGTGTCTTCATCTGTGGTTCAGTGCCAGTCCTCTTCCACACTTCGCTTCACTGAATACGATGTTCAGTGTTTTTAAACATTTTCTTTGAGCTCAGGGCATCGAAGAGATGCCCCCTGCAGGCGAAGCATCAAGCTGCCCTGGACTTATAGTGTGCCTGTAGTCCCATAGCCAGCCTAACCAATATACTTCCTGCTCAGTCTGGCTTGATTGACATCTGCTCCTATTAGGAGCTTTCTTGTCACAAGAGCAGCTGCACATTAACCGCTTTCCCACGGCCCAATAGCAGAAATACTGCTACAGGGTGGCAGGGGTGCGCAAACTCACGTAAAGATATGTGATTTTGCTTCCCCAGGCAGGAGGCACGTGTGAACTGCGTGCTCGTCCTTCCCCGCACTACCATTGGCGGCCTCACCTGTCAATCACCGAGTCCCGGCCGGTGATTCTCCACCACCACCCAGCGATCGCCATGTATCACCGACAGGGGAGAGACCTGTATGTAAACAATACAGATTTCTCTCCTGTCAGCTCCTGCACATTGCTTTGTATGGCTCTGCATAGCAAAGCCATACAAAGCGGTGTGCTTACACAGTAAAGCACACATACAGCCCACAGTAAAGCAGCACACAGTTAACCCTTTGATCACCCCAGATGTTAGCCCCTTCCTGCCCAGTGTCATTAGTATAGTGTCAGTGCTTTTTATTAGAATTGATCACTGTATTGGTGTCACTGGGGATGCCAGTGACAGTTATTCAGATCCCCCCCCAGTGTCAGAATGCCTGCTGCAGTCTTGCAGTCCCACTATAAGTCACTGATTGCCACCATTACTAGTATAAAAAAAATTCCAGTATCTATACCGCCATTTGTAGATGCTATAACTTTCACATAAACCAATTAATTTACATGTATTGGGACTTTTTTTTTAGCAAAGACATGTAGCAGAATACATTTTGGCCTAAATTTATGATGAAATTTGATTTTTTAAATGTTTTTTACTGTACATGTTTAATATCATAAAGGCAAAAATATTGTTTTTTTTTCTCAAAATTGTTGGTCTTTTTTTTTTTATAGAACAAAAAAAAAAAAAACAACATGACCATGCAGGGCTCTACCCACACGGCTGCATAATTAATTTACAAATTCCTGTGAATAAATGCCTACAAGTACCATCATCCATTGCAGTTGACGGCTTGTGGTTCTCAATGAACTACGAGGGCAATAGTGACCACTTTCATAGTCCATTGATCTTCCTGCTCTCAAGTAACTTCAGTATGCTGAGAGCCTACAGGTGACTGAGATTGCACCCCTGATCTTCTGATCACAGGTGCAATGCTCTGCAGGCGGCTTAGAAAAAAAAATAATAAATGCACATTTTTTTTACCTGCAAAAAAATGTGCATTTATTATTTTTTTTTATAACGTGAACTTACCGTAAGTATATTGTTTCACAATTATGTGTAACATGATAAAATAAAAGAAGGCATGTTTTGTGGGAGTGATGTATTTGTGACAGCTTCAAAATCTATAAACTCAAAAGTAAATGAAGGCATTGTTTCATGACGGATGTATTTGTGGTGGCTTCAAAATACATATGCTCAATCTGGAGTTCCTATTGGATTGAAATACTACCTTACCCATTTTGCTATGTTTGATGTGCCACTGATCTTATCTTAACTTTTAATATATCCCTTCTGAGCAAGCACTCTACTTATTAAACCGACATAGCCTTTGTCACTAACGGTTTCATCTAGTCAAGTAGTCAAGGAAAAATGTAATACTTCAAAGAAGTGTCAAATAAATGTTTATAATGTGAACTGAAACAATATTTATTCAGGGTATTTCTCAGAACTGAAGATAAGATACTGTATATATGTCTGTAGACTGAGAATTAAATGAACGAGAGGCCACTGAAAGTCAACTCGTGAGAAATAGTTATCAGACAGGAAGAAACAGTGTAAGGAATTCCAGTCAAAAACCAAAAGCCTTTGAACAAAACAGCACATTGGTCACTTAGCTCTGCATTTATTAAGGCTAGCTACAAACTTTTACAGTGGGGAAAATAATTATTTGATCCTCTGCAGATTTTGTAAGTTTGCCCACTTACAAAGAAATGAAGGGTCTATAATTTTTATCATAGGTGTATTTTAAATTATAGAGACAGAATATCAACCAAAATCCAGAAAAAAAACACATGATACAAATGGTTTAAATTGAGTTGCAGTTCATTGAGTAAAATAAGTATTTGATCCCCAAGCAAAACATGACTTACTACTTGGAGGAGAAACCCTTGTTGGCGAGCACAGGAGGTTTCTTGTAGATGGTTACCAAGTTTGCATACATTCCAGGAGGGATTTTGATCCACTCTTCTTTACAGATCTTCTCTAAATCCTTAAAGGTTTCTTGGTTGTCACTTGGTAACTCAAAGTTTCAGCTCCCTCCATAAATTTTCTATAGGATTAAGGTCTGGAGACTGGCTAGGCCACTCCATGACCTTAATGTGCTTCTTCTGGAGCCACTCCTTTGTTGCCTTGGTGATATGTTTTGGGTCATTGTCATGCCGGAAGACCCATCCAAGACCAATTTTTCAGTGATCTGGCTGATGGAAGAAGGTTCTCATCCAAGATTTTACAATACATGACCCTGTCCATTGGCCCTTCAATGTAGCAAAGTCAGCCTGTACCTTTAGCAGAGAAACAGCCCCAAAGAATAATGTTTCCACCTCCTTGCTTGACTGTAGGGATGGTGTTTTTTAGGGTCATAGTCAGCATTTGTTTTCCTCCAAACACAGTGAGTTGAATTAATGCCAAAAAGCTAAATTTTGGTCTCACCTGACCACAGCACTTTCTCCCAATCCTTCTCTGAATTATTTAGATGTTCATTGGCAAACTTCAGACAGGCCTGTACATGTGCATTCTCCAGGAGGGAGAACTTCTAGGGCGCTGAAGGATTTCAATCCATGGCAGCATATTGTGTTATCAGTAGTTTGTTTGGTGACTGTGGTCCCAACTGCCTTGAGATCATTCACAAGCTCCTCCCCTGTAGTTCTGGGCTGTTCCCTCACTTTTCTCCTGATCATCCTTACCCTATTAGGCGAAATCTTGCATGGAGCT